ACCAATTCTGAGCTTAGATATCAGCAAAACTCCAGACAGCAAATGAGTTCTTAATGAACGGTCCCAAACACAGGTATGAGGTTTTACCAAAAAGCACGTCGTATTTTTTGCCAAGGCCAAAATATAACAACTCGCACCCTGGAAACGTGTGTTTTCCAAAAATGGATCACATTTGCAAATAGCAGAAAAGTGTTCTTTTTCATTTTTAAAAAGTCTTTTCCATGGAAAAACAATTTCAAGTTTGGATGTGTGTTCATTAGCCTGGAGTCTTAAAGAACAAAGCTACCTTGTTGACTGCAGGCACATGAAACCCACAGGGGTCTGCTTTGGGGCGGTTTTACCATACAGGGTTCAATAGACCATTTTTGCAAATAATAAATTACTTAACCCTCAAGGCTACTGGGAGCCACTAAAAAGGAGTTTATGGCCAAGGCCCAGGGCTGGTGGCTGGCTCAGCTGGTGGTGGCGGGATGTTAAGGAGACTTAGAGACTTGATATGCTCCGGGGTCCAGTTAAATTTAATAGCGTTAGAAAAAAACACCCGCCCCCAGCCGCTGTTGGAACCTAGAATTCGTGTCTGTAACTTTGGCCATCTGAGCCTATAGGGACATGGCGGGGAGTGGGGGGAAGGAAGAGGAGGAGGGGGTGGCTGAAGCATGGACGTTCAATGCAAACCTTCTCTGTGGGTGGTGAACGCAACTGGTGTGCGTGCATTTTTCATGCTTTCTGTACAAAGGCTGGTGTGGGTCAGCTCTGCAGAGCAGAAGCAGTGTTGGCCCCTAGGGCCACAACCGGGGCTTGTGGCTGCCCTTTGGTTGCTGCTGTGGTACCCAGGCCCCCCTGTAAGAATCCATGAAGCCAGGACAAGAGTAAAAATACCCTTCACATACCCACATCGGAACCGTTGTATGTCATAAATGAAGATGAACTGATAGAGAAGTGTTCCACCCAGCTACCTTGGCAGAATTACCCTCTTAACGCTTGGAAAACCGGCTTCAAATGATTCTTGCATTCCTAGAAATCTGCACCAGAATGTGGCATGTGGGGAGAGCTGAGCTAAGACCTCCCCCGTTCTCTTCTATCCTGTGCCTCCGGGGGTCTTGTGCACACTTACATGGACACTCCAGCTTGCACAGCCAACCTCTGTTCACACACCCTGCCAACCTCTACTGCCTGGCCACTCGGTCCATCCTGGCAGAGGGATGGTGGGTGCAGATCATTTGACACCGTTTGTGCGGGGAATTCTGGGGTCCTGTGTTTCCAGAGAATGTTCTAGAAGAGGGCATTGGTTTTGAGTGAGTATGTACCCTGTCCCCTACAGATCCTTCACTCCAGGGGGAAGAGCTCAGAGTAAGGCGGGGATAGGACCCTCTAAAGCGCTGGGGCCCCAGGCCTGGGGTCAAGGGCTGTACTGGGGGTACCCGCTGTCATCATCATAAGGTGAATTCATCTGTGATGCCTGTCAGAATCCTGGTCATCAGACATCAAGGAGAGCAAGACAATGAGACAAGATGTCTTGGTGGTTTTGACTCTCCGGAAGGGGTCTGAGACATTAGATTCGAGACTCCAAATAAATTCATCCTGGCTGCACCCAGCAAGGGCAGCTACTCTTCCTGGAGCCCAGCACACCGCTCCGAGAAGAGCGCCACCCCGGGCTGTCCCCGTCAAGCCCGCTCCCACTGGCCTGAGAAGGGCATGCAGTTGGGTGGAGAGAGAGTGAGCGGTGGTTGGCACCCTGTGGCCAAACTCCACTCCCTCACGGGCTGTGTCCTGCCAGGCCGGTTACTCCCAGGCCCAAACCAGTTCTCTCAACGGCCACGCAGAGGCGATGGGTCTGTAAAAGGGGAAGTGATAATGGTACCTGTGTGTGATGGTTTGCTTCCTGGGTCAAGTTGGCTGGTGCTCAGATGTGCGGTCAAGCGTTATGCTGGATGTTTCTACAAGGGTGTTTTTAGCTGAGATTATTTAAACCGGTAGACTCCGGGGAAAGCAAATCGCCCAGTCAAGATGTGGCCTCGTGGACTCAGTTCCATTAAGTGGAACTAAAAGGGGATTATACAGGGGACGGTGTCCAAACTTGAACTGCAAGACTGGCTCTTCCCTGGGTCTCCAGCCTGCCAGCCTGCTCCATAGATTTTGCACTTGTGAGCCTCCACTATCACACGGACCAATTCCTTAGAATAAATCTCTTTCTCTGTCTATACGCATCCTATTGGTTCTATTTCTTGGGGAAACCCGGATGAATACACTGCCTTACAGGGGTTGTGAGTCGCCTAATGGGCCTCGTCCAGCATCTAGCATAGAGTGTCCTCAATGCACACGGACTATGATCGTAACCAGGAGCACGGGCCTCCAAGCCCAAATGTGAATCTGGTCTAGCTCTGCCAGGTCCTGTCACCTACCCACCTTCTCTGAGCCTCAGTTTCCCTCATCTATAAACTTGGGATAGTAGCAGCTCTCCCCCGGAGTTATAAAGAGGTTTGAAAAGAGCTTATGTTGGTGGTGTTCCTGGTATGGTGCATGGAATTCTTTTGTTTGGTCTTTTAATCAACATGCATATTGGTTGTGCCACCGCTGTGTGCCAGGCACGGCTCTGGGGACACGGACAGCCCGAATCCCGGCTCTTGGGGAGCTCCTGTCCCAGTCCAGAGAGGTAGACTATAACCACGTAAACAGGTGGAACAATGTCACATCATGGGTACGTGCTGTGCAGAAAGTAGCACGAGGTACTGTGCCACTCTGAGGAGGTGACATCTGAGACACAGTGACACTGGTGGTGATCTGACAGGGGGTATTTCTGGTGCAGGAGGCCCTCAGTCGGTATGTAGCCTTGTCCTTGTTGCTGTTAGTTATAACCTGAGACCCCACAGCCAGCCAGAGATCACCGAGTCACTGCCTCTTGCTTGTGCCACTGTCACTTCTTGAAAGGCATTTTCCCAGTGGAGCCGGGGCTCCCGGTCAGTATATATTTTCTTGGGCTTGGATGTCCCTCCCGTCCCCAACGTCCTGAGCGTTTCACAGGCTTTATGTCCGGGCAGTGATGGTTTCAGCTGGTAATATTTTAAAGCCCTTCTTCCCCAGAGTCATGTTCCTTCCAAAATTCTGGGGTGCAGCCAGCAGAAGTGGGGGTTGATCTGTGCCCAACGAGCCCCTGGCTGTCCCTCCCCCACTCACTCGTTCATTCAGGAAGTAACCACGGGCCCCTGTGCCATGCAGGGCTTGTGCCTTCTAAGGAAACAGCTGACTCTGTTGGCCACGAGGGGTGAAATAGACTCATTAAGTCTCATTAAGACTCATTAAGTCCCACTGGAACCCATCAGACCAAGGCCGTGGTACTAATTTCACAGCCCGGGGCACCAATTCCCCAGGATTCTGGGAGAAACAAGTTGTAACTTTGGCAGGGGCCCAGTTGGATCCAGGGCCTTTAGCGGTGTCCCTGGTAGGGTGCTCCCGGGGGGGGGGGGGGACCGGACCCTGTGACAACAGACAGCAATTCTGACCCCACACAAATCTCAGTGAGTCCGCGGCCAGGCTGGGGAGGTGCTGACGGTAGACTGTTTTGTGCCTCACACTCTCAGCCTCCGAGCCTGTGACACACACCTCTGCCATGGTCTTTTCCCTGTTCTCAGGTAGCCCGGTGTCAGTAGAGTCCCCTCCCCTGACTGAGCACCTTCTCCGTGAGCCTTCATTCACAGGAAGGTGCACATGATGGCTGGAACCTGGAATTCACGCAGCACCTAACGTTCATGATGACCGCCTTCAGGCTGCTCATACGGTTTTCTCCAGGGAAGTGGTACCTGGGCTGAGGGGGAGCCCACAGAGGTGGCTCCTTCTGGTGCTGGGGTGCAACGGAGCGTGTGAAAGATGCTGCCCACCTGCCCAGTGACTCTGTGACAAGACAGCTCCTGAGCTAGTGGTCTCCCCTGGGGCCAAGAATGCTGGGGGCCAGACAGGGGCCCGAGTCTCCTCCAGGGGAAGGGGGAAGAGGAGTAGAGAGAGTAGAAGAAGAGAAGAGAGGGAGGGAAGGAGGCAGGATTCAGCTTGAAGCTACCCAATGAGACCTTCCCTGATGTGAGGGTTAGTTTCATGCATCAACTTGCCTGGGTCCGGGGTGCCTGGATATGTGGTGAAACATTATTAAGGGTATGACCTTAAGGATGTCTCTGGATGAGAATAGCATTTTATCTGTAGACACTGTAAAGCACAATGTCATCCCCAGTGTGGGCGGGCAGCATCCAATCCATTGGGGGGTCTGAATAGAACAAAAAGGTGAAGGAAGGGAGAATTGTGCCTCCCCCCACCCAAGCCCCAGCGTTCTCTGTCTGCCTGACTGCTTGAGCTGAGTCCTCTCCTGACCTTGGACTAGAACGGAGACCAGTGGCTCTGTCAGTTCTCAGGCCTTTGGACTCAGACTGGAACTACACCACTGTTTTCCCTTGGGTCTCCAGCTGGCCACCAGTAGATACTGGGACTTTGCAACTTCCATATAATGTGAGTCAATTCCTTATAATCTAGATGGATGGATGGATGGATGGATGGATGGATGGTTGAATGGATGGATGAGTGGATGGACAAACAATAATAGATATATAGAATACATATCCCCTGTGGGTTCTGTTTCTCTGGAGAGCCCTGGCTAATATACCCATTTACCCATTCTTGTATAGCTTCTACCATTACTCTGTTGCAGGACCTCATTTCTTTCTTTCACGGTGCCTATCACCACCTTAATTACAGTTCTGTCTACCTGCTTGTTTTATGTTTCCCCCGCAAGAACAGAGGCCAAGAGAGGGGCGCCTGGGTGGCTCAGTCAGTTGAGCATCCAACTCTCGGTTTTGGCTCAGGTCGTGATCTGGCAGTTTGCAGGATCAAGCCCTGAATCGGGCTCTGCCCTGAGAGCACAGAGCCTACTTGGGATTCTCTCTCTCCCTCTCTCTCTGCCCCTCCTCATCTCTCTCTCTCTAAATAAATAAATAAACTTAAAAACAAAGAGGCCAAGCGAGCAGGGGCCCTGTCTTCTTAGCGCACACCCACGCTGCCCAGACCAGTGCCTGGCCCTTAGCAAGTGACAGTGGGTCTTTGTGGAGGCAGAGATGGGAGGGAGCAATGGAGGAAGAGCACATAAGGAATATATTAGGAGAAACAGTGGAGAGGTGGTTCCCAGAAACACCCAGGGCTTCTCTCAGGCTCCCTCAAAGTCTCAGTCCCCAGCAGAGTCCAATGCTGCTGACACCGTCGCCCTACATTAACCCGCCAGGCACATGACGTGGCTTCATATTATCTCTGAACCAAGCACCGTCTTCCACATCCAGGAAAACACGGCCTGTCACAAACTATGCTCCAAGGAAATGTAACACACACCCTAAGGCCACTGATGGAGGTTTCTCAGAGGCCAAATCTCTGGGTTTTTTTGTTTGTCTGTTTGTTTGTTTTGTTTTTTTAGCATTTTCTTGGTCCAGCACAACCTGCTTTTTGGAATCCTGGCCTCGGGGGAAAGTTTACCACAAGTGCTGGAGGTGACAAGTCTGGACCCGTGCCAGCACAGAGACCAGCCAGGCATTAGCTGGCTGAGGAGGGATTCCAGTGGTGGGGGGGCTGGGGAAGGGGCCAGGGAAGGGAGACAAGTGGCTGTGTTTCAGGGGAAGGAGTGATGGGGCACAGAGGCCATGGAGACTGTATACAAGACGGACCCTCCTTCCTCTACAAGTTGCTTCCTCTCGGGCTGAGGACAGGGTGTGAGCTCTGTCAGGAAAAGTCTTCCTCACCTGCTCACCAAATTACAGCAACAAACGCCCTTTGGCCAGATCGTAGCTTTTCCCTCGGTGCCTCTTTAGCCAAATGGGGATCTGTCCTGTGGACCTCTAGAGGCTGCCGAAGCCCTGTATGGCAGAAGTCCACTCCAGGGACAGGACCCTGGATGTGAGTCCCTGTCTGAGCGGCTGCATCCCGGGACGAAGAGGCTGCTGCTCAGTGTCCCAAGCCAGGCCAGAGAACAGATGCACAAGCCAGCTCGGTGGTCAGAGCTGCAAGCGTCTGCTCCCCCCGGCTTGGGGTTCAGGGTCAGCGGGGAAGCCTCTCTCTACCCCATTCTCGAACCTCAAGCCAAGAGGCAGGTCCCTCCAGAATCCTTCCTGGGCTCGTCCACCCCTAAGGTCTTAAACTCTGAGATGGGAGGTCCCAGCGGGCACCCAGGGTGTGTGGCCAGGTGCACGGCCAGGTGCACGGACGGGGGCAGGTGCTGCTCTGGGCACCGTGGGTTGACTGCTTCCCACTTCCAGCTTCCCCTCTTCCCGCTAGGCTCGGAGGGGAGCCCCGCCTGGGCTCTGGCAATCCAGGAAGGGAGGGGGCGGCTCAGTCGTCCTCATCCTCGTCCTCCTCGTCTTCGGTGTCCTTGTTGGGGGCACATCTCTGGAAGCACTGCACCACGGTGGCCAGGAAGAAGCTGGAGATGATGGCAGCGATGGACACCGCCACGCCCGAGAAGATGATGATGAACAGGTCCGTGAGCGACAGGCTGAACCTACACTCGCTGAAGCTGGCCTCGGACAGCTCGTGCAGGAATATCCTCCTGTTCCCCAGGGGCAGAGAGCACTGGATTTCCTCACGGCCTGTGAAAGAGGCAGGGGGAGGGGTGAGAGAGAGGTCTGCAGGGTTGCCTAGAAGTTGGCAAGGCGAGTGCTTACCGAGTGCAGAGCAGGAGTGTTCCCCCAGAACGGAAGAGGGGAGGGGATTGATTGTATAAGCTTTTTTTTGGTTGTTTTTTAAAGTCCCAGAGTAACCACCATGAGAAAATCCGAACGCCTTGGTCTCCCTTGCCCTGCTCTTAAGGTGTGGAACTCTAGGTTTTGAACCACTCAGATGGTGGCAGAAGGGGAGATTCAAGGTCAGGGCCTCTGTAGACCTTCATCCAGACCTGGGTACTCTGTGGCCTTGGGGGTGGCGGGTGGAGGAGGGGCCAGTGCAGGGGGAGGGGAAGGGGGGTGACAGTGCCCATCCGTACAATACGCTCCAGTGGGCAACGTCACTGCCCCAATCTTCTCCGTCATTGTCCTCAGGGCACAAACAGGGTTAGCACAGCACTACCCTAGAAGGGTTTTCCTGCGACAGGAGTGGGGAAAATAGGCTATATGTGAAGGAGGCCTTCAAACAGCAGGTACTGAAGCTTCTGCGAAGCCTCCGTGTTTTTCACAACCACCTGAAGAGTGCTTTAAGATGTGAGTTCCCCCGGGGAGTTTGAGAGCTTCCGGGACATCCACTCCAGCTGTGCCCAGAGGAGCCCTTGTTAACCTCTGTGTTATATATTGAGGGTCCCCTTAAGATTTCACTGGAAGAGTGTTTGGCTCATTTAAAAAGGAGTTTCATACCCTCCAGTCCAGAAAAACAAGGCATCTGAGTACGTGTGAGAAAGTGCTTTAAAACAATAACCATGAATGGGGCGCCTGGGTGGCTCAGTCGGTTAAGCGTCCGACTTTGGATTTCAGCTTAGGTCATGATCCCAGGGATCAAGCCCCACGTCAGGCTCTGTGCTGAGCATGGAGCCTGCTTAAGATTCTCTCTCTCTCTCTCTCTGCCCATCTCCCTCACTCACATGCCTTCTCTCTCTCTCTCAAATAAATTAATTAAAAAAACACAATAACCATAAATGCTAACTAGAACTTACCATGGGCCAGACGCTGTTCTAAGCACTTCACATACAATAAGAATCCTCATCATGCCATCAGGGGAAGAGAGGGAGACAGCTATGAGGATTGCAGGTGGGTGAATTCTACACCCTCTGTTGATTCAGTAAGCCCAAAGGAAAACTTGCCCAAGGCATGAAAATCTGAGCACCATAAGGATGGGTCTCCAGATACTCGTTTATTCATTCAACCCACATTTATTGAGCATTTTATCCTGTGCCAAGGGATTGGTGATAAACAAGCCCCCCCCCCAAAAAAAAGGCCCCTACACTCAAAGAGTATCAATTCTAGAAGACAGACACTCATTCATGCATTCAACAAATGTTTATTGAGTATCTACTATATACTTGGCCCTGGGGATACAGCAGTGAACAAAACCTAATGCAGCTTAGGTTTAGACAGTTAGTGAGTAGATCAAGAAACACATAAATGTTAAGATGACACACTAGCATGAAAGGATGAGTGTCTGGGACAGAGGACCGTCTTTAGATGGGTGTTCACAGGGTACTATTTTAGTGAAGATCTAAAGAATGAGATGGAACCAGTCATGAAAGACCAGTCTAGGCAGAGGAGACAGGAAGTTGGCAAAGAGTTTGGTGTTTGGGGAACACCACGTAGCCAGGGGCAGAAGAGTGAGCAAAGGGGCATTTAGTATGAGCTGAGGTGGGAGAGGTGAGCACGGCTGAAGATGAAGCCCCCAGCTCACCAGGGTCTCCAAATGAGTATCATGAACAGAGGCCCCACCTGTACCACCAACCTGGACCGAATTGTATCCCCCTGAAATTTATATGTTGAAGACCTAACCCTCAATGTGTCTGTAATTAGAGATAATAATGAGAGATAATTCAGGTTAAATGAGATCAGAAGGGCGTGGCCCTAATCTCATAGGACTGGTGTCCTCATAAGAAGAGGAAGAGACAGGGGGCGCGTGGGTGGCTCAGTCAGTTAAGTGTCCGACTTCAGCTCAGGTCATGATCTCACAGTACATGAGTTCAAGCTCCACATTGGTCTCTATGCTTCAGATTCTGCGTCTCCCTCTCTCTCTGCCCCTCCATTGCTTGTGCTCTGTTTCTCTCTCTCAAAAATAAATAAACATTAAACATTAAAAAAAAAAAGAGAGAAGAGGAAGAGACATGGGTCACCTGGGTGGCTCAGTCAGTTGAATGTTCAACTCTTGATTTCAGCTCAGGTCATGATCTCCAGGTTGTGGAATCAAGCCCCACATCAGGCTCTGCACTGAGTGTGGAGCCTGCTTAAGATTCTCTCTTTCTCCCTCTGCCCCACTCCCATGCTTGTGCATGTGTGCTCTCTCTCTAAAATAAATAATTTTTACAAATTAAAAAAAAAAAGTAGAGGAAGAGATCTCGCTCTCTCACAGATCTCACTCTCTCTCTCTGCATGTGCATGGAGGTAAGGCCATGTGAGAACTCTGCAAAAAGGTGGCCATCTACATGTCAGGAAGAGAGGCTTCACCAGAAACTGACCATGCCAGCACCTTGATCTGGGACTTCCAGACTCCAGAACTGTGAGAAAATACATTTCTCTTATTTAAGTCACCCAGTCTGGGGTATTCTCTTGTGGCAGCCCTAGAAAACTACTACAAACTCTCACTGGGCATGAACAAAAGATAAAGACTTGTGTGAGTAGTCAGCCAGCAAAGACTGCTTGTTACCAAGGGTAATCTACACATCCTGACTGATACACAATATGAACTATATACAAAGTCGAGTTACTACCATGATTTCACAAACTTCAGGTACAAGAAAGTGCTTAATATTAAAATCCATAAAGAGATCCGATCATCTGTTTCTGATCTGGAAGAGGGGAGAAAAATAAAGCAGTAGAAACTAGGACTCATACTGCACTTACTATGTGCAAACACTCTTCTAACTGCTACGTACATACTGACTTTTAATTCTTGCAACAAGTTCATGAGGTAGGTGGTACCATTATGTCTGTTCTATGGATGAAAAAAACTGAAGCATCAAGAGTTTTCACAGCTTGCTTTTAGCAACACACCTTCCCGGAAATGTGAGGACACCATTGCGGTGAGGACACTGCAGGACACTTACCTTTGGCTTCCTTTCAACTTTCAGGAAAACCTTCAACTCCTCTCTTTTTCAGTGCCTCCAGGTTTCAGAAAGCTGGCCCTCAACCCATCTCCCAAATTGTCTGAAAGTCAGAATGATCTTTTCACATCTCACTAATTACTGGCTTCTGTACTGCAAAGAGCAGCTTGCTAATTGCACGGCAACCCAGTGACCACCCTTTGGGTCTTTATTTGCATATCTTTCCTTCCCCAGCTCAGAAACAGAGGCTTCCTCCCTCCTTGGGTCTTGGCCCACCTTTTCTGTAACGTACAGCCAACCCACTGGGGCTGATGCTCTCCTCCCCATGGGAGCCGTTGCCTGGCAACCAGCCTTACAGCACCTCCTCTCCCTGATTCAATGCCGACCTTCTATCCCCAAGGGATTAGCTGGACAAAACTCTGTGTCTTTCTCCAGGTATGCTTGACTAGTTTTTGACTTTCTTTTTCTGAAAGAAGCCAAAGTTGTTTTTTTTTTTAACATATGAAATTTATTGTCAAATTGGTTTCCATATAACACCCAGTGCTCATCCCAAAAGGTGCCCTCCTCAATACCCATCACCCACCCCCCATCAACCCTCAGTTTGTTTTCAGTTTTTAAGAGTCTCTTATGCTTTGGCAGAAGCCAAAGTTTTGTTTACTTCTTATGAGCATTTTAAATGCAATTGAACAGAATAGGAGAACTTGAAGACAGAGTTATATTGGGGTTCCCTTGTAGACAGTTTTCTTCAATGGAAAAGTGGGAAAAATCCACTGACCTGCCTCTTCTAAACACCCCTTCCCCTGAGCCAAAGATGTTATGAACATAAACAAGGTAGACGCGAATGGACTCCATGAAACACAGACAGTTTCTAACTCTAAGATAATACAGTAAAACCCTGGATTGCGAGTAACTTGTTCGAGTGTTCCGCAAGACGAGCAAACATTTCTAGTAAATTTTAACCTCATAAACGAGCGATGTCTTGCAATACAAGTCGTATGGGACATGATCATCATGTCACATGATCACAACTGAACCAATGGTTCTTGAAATTCGTTTTGATATACAAGTGCTTTGGATTACAAGCGTGTTTCCAGAACAAATTCTGCTCGCAAATCGAGGTTTTTACCGTATTTGTAATCTTCAAACCCGCAAAGGGGTCACTGTTATCTAGAGAAACTTTCCAGCAGTCCCTGTCTTCAATAAGCCGTATTCACTGGAAAACAACCACAACAGAACAACACCAGCCCACAGCACCTGCTGTTTAAGCCCAACCTTGGCCTGCCAAGACTCCTTGAGTCAATTCTGATTTCTACGATGTTTTTTGTGCCTTGAGATTAAGCTTGGCATTTTTACAAAGTGACCCTTTTAGAAAATGTCATCTCAAATTTCTCTGCGGCTGGAAGAAACAGGCTTGTTTGCCAAACGTCACATGCAAACCCACCAGGGGTGAGGGACTCTGGAACCACAACTGATGGAGCTAGCACGATAAGATACACTGTCTTCATGGATTTTCGTAGCTCAGGAAAGGCAGAGGAATAAAAAAAGTCAGACAAAGAGCGTTAGCTGGGCAGACAAGGCCCAGGAGAGGGGGCAGGGCATTGCTGCCAGAGAGAGCGTTCTGGAGACGCGTTCTAGGCAGGCTGCAGAACTCAGCAGTCAAGGTAATCTGATTTGGGGGGTCCCGTCCCCTCTTCTCCCCTGCAGGATCTTACTCTAGACCAGAGCTTCTCACCCTTGACACTATTGATATGTTGCATCAGATCATTGTTGTTGGGGGGCACCTGGGTGGCTCTGTCGGTTAAGCGTCGGACTTCGGCCTAGGTCACGATCTTGTGGTTTGTGACTTCGAGCCCCGCAATG